GGGGAGGGATCTCCCTGTCCACTTAGCTGGTGGCCCTCCGACTGCATACTTGTCCCACAAGTTGTAGTGACCCATCATTCGCTGGTCATAGACCAGCCCTGTGCGAGCCTGTAGCACCGGCCAGGTCGGGATTGGGAGCGCCGGGGGCTGCCACGGTCCCTCTGCTTCCTTCTCCACGTTCTCCTCCTCCAGGAAGTCCTCCTCCAGGGTCTCAGCTGTAAGGGGAGGCCACATTCACCCTACTCCCCCACCCTGGATCCCTGGAATACTCTGGAACAACGTTTACCCAAACGTGAAAGGGGCAGGAGGCCTGAAACCAGGGTCTAGTGCGAGAGAGGGCCTGACCCTCCCCCACCAAGGGGGCCCAGGGAAGCCCGAGGAGGGTCTGGAAGAGAGTCTCTCCCAAGGGCTCATTCCACGCTTGACTCCCCACCTAGCCCCCTCCCTGCCTCCTACCTGATCTTACAAGGACCTCCCAGAAGGGCTCCAGGGCTTCCAGAGCGCAGGAGAGTGACGCCTGGGCACTAGAGGGCAGGGGAGGGGAAATGTGACCAAATGTGCCCGTGGGTGGGCAGCGGGGGTCCCACTTTTCTCCTCCTCCACCGGGGCTCACCTTGGGCAGGGGGCACCAGGAGACTCCAGTGTGGGGCAAGGGTCTCCCAGAAGGGTGTGGAGGGAGGCGCTGACGCCCTCGGCCAGGGAGCGGAGGTTGTAGCCACCCTGGGAAAGGAGTGTGAGGGGGCGTCAGGAGAGAACCAGGCGTTACCAGGGAAGAACAGGAATAATAATACTAGGGGTGCTGACTCCGTTTCAAGCAACGAGGAATTGGAAGGGTGACTTCCGTTTCGTTCACTGAACAGTGCTATGAGGCGATGGCCACGATTACGGCGCCTGTTTCACGCAACGAAAGCAGGGGCACGAGGAAGTTCAGTGACCTGGGTGAGGTTGTCCAGCTGGTGAGTAGAAATGCTGGGACAGAAACTCCTGCCTGACCTGAAAGCTTTGTTCTAACGTCCTCCTCGATCCACGGGCTGAGACAAGAAGTGAGTCACTCACCTCCAGAGACAGGATCAGTTTGCCTCCTGCCAGACCCATGAGCAGGTGGGTTAGCTGAGCGAACCCTGCCGGAGTAGCGGCCATCTCACCCTGGGGTTGGGGGGGTGGACGTGGAGGATCAGCCTGGCTCTGTGCAAACCCCCTTCTGTCCACGTACCACCCCAGGGAGCCTGCCTTACCTTGGGGTCCCCTTGGAGGGCATCAAATCCAGCGGCCACCAGGACCAGCTGGGGCTGGAACTGAGAGGGAAAGGGACTACATGAGGCCACTTGCCCTCATGGCCCATCCCTCAACATCACTCCTGTCCCAACACACCCCAGACCCCCAGAACCTCAAGGGCGACTGGCAGAAGGAGGTACAGGAAGGCGGCAATGTAGTCGGCGTCTCGCATCCCCACCTGCGGACAGAGAGGCACGATGGGGACGTTCTGCCCTCTGCCCCGAACTGGCTGAAGGGCAGGGGTGGGCCTAACTTCGGGGGCAAAGGGCAGGCAGACACTGACCTGGTTCCAAGGCACATTCATGGTATATCCCTGGCCTCGGCCAAAACCTATGGTGGACCAGTTAGAGGCCTTCAGGTGGGGCCAGAACCGGCCCTGCTCATAGCGGTGGATGGAGAAATAGAGGACGCTGGAGGCAGAGGCAAGAAAAAAGAGGTAGGGGGCGGTTGAGAGTGAATGCCCCCAGACGCCCCAACCCACAGCTCCCAGTTTACTCAACCACTCATTCATTCTCTCGTTAACTTCCCCATTAACTCTTTGCCTCCTGCATCCATTCATTCTTCTATTTAGTCGCCAACTTATCCACCCGTCCCATTCATGAATTCTCCCATTGCTCCACTACTTCCCTCACTCGTTCACCTGCTCTCTCACTGGGATGCCTCCTTTGGCGAACACTCCTGCCCTCCTCTGTGCCAGCTCTGAGACCCCGACAGCTATGGGGTCTGTCCATCCCAGTCCCTGAGGGCTCCTGACTCTGCGGGGGACTCAAAATCATACCGGCCTGCCTCCTCTGCCTCCGCGACCAAGGTGGTGGTGGCAGGATGAATCCTGTGATGTTGGAGGCCCACAGTGGGGCACATAGCCCTTAGCTGGCAGGATCCGGCTAAGGTGGTAAAGAGCAGCAGGCCAGGCTGGGGAACCTGGTGCTTCCCCTGAAGGATGTGGGGAGACTCAGGCGTGAGGGGTAAGGGGGCATGGAACTTGGTTCTATGTGTGCAGCTGAGCTGAAGTGGGGACCAGTTTCTTCTCTCCGATACCGTACAGGGTACCTCTACTACTTCCTGTATTTTGTAGGTGAGAAACTGAGCACTCAGAGCCGTGAGGACAGATACACGGAACAGACACTGAAAAGACACGAAGGTCCATGTTCTGATAGAAGGCCCAGCAGGGGGACCCCTGGGTGGCTCAGTCGGTTAAGCGTCTGCCTTCAGCTCAAGTCATGATCCCAGGGTCCTGGGATCGAGTCCCACATCAGGCTTCTTGCTCAGGAGGGGAGCCTGTTTCTCCCTCTGCCTGCCACTCCCCCTGCTTGTGAACACACTCTTTCTCTGACAAATAAACAAATAAATCTTAAAAAAAAAAAGGAAGGCCCAGTAGGAGGCTGTGGGAGGGCTTTAATTCTGACGGGGGCAATCAAAATGAGTAATCTCTTATCCATCCATCCATCCACCCATCCATCTGTTCATCCACTCCCTGTCTTGTTCCAGAAAGAATTTAAGGCAGCAGTTTTAGCTTTTTTTTTTTTTTTTTAAGGGAAATGCAAGAAATGGTGGTAAGCAATAAATCTAGACCAACTTAGTGACATTTTAATAAATGCTGAAAACGTGGTTACGAAATCTGATGCAACTGATATAGAAAGATTCTTAAAATAGCAGAAAAGCGTCTTGGAACTGGGGGATGAAACCCACGTGAAAGCTGTGGTCTTGAGTAGGTGGGAGATGATGGGTTTACTTTTGATCTGATAAATATCAGTTCTAAACTTTTTTTTTTTTTTAGTAAGTTAACCAGTAGAGGAAGAGAAATGCACAGTAGAACATAAAGATGATCATCGGGGGAAGAAAGGAATAAAGAAAATATCTGAAGAAAGCCTACCCCATGACAGCCTCCGGAGCCAGTGGAAGAACGAACACCCAAGGAAACTAAGTTTATAAAGCAAACAGTGGGAGGCATTTTTGTTTGAAAGATTTATTTATTTTTATTTTAGAGAGAGAAGGGCAGAGGGAGAGGGAGAGAGAGAATCTCAAGCAGGCTCCACGCCCAGCACGGAGCCTGAGGAGCCTGACACGGGGCTCTATCTCACGACCCTGAGATCATGACCTGAGCTGAAATCAAGAGTCTGATGCTTAACTGACTGAGCCACCCAAGTGCCCCAGCAGGAAGTTTTAAAATAAGTTCCACTGATTTCCAATGAAAGAATGATGGACTGACAGCACAGGTTCACCTCCTTGCTCTTCCACAGTCCCAGTCAAAAGATAGTAAGAGGAAGTTTAAACAAGTATCATCCCGGAAAGACGGAGAATGGAAGAAAGGATGTCAGACAATTAGACACTTCAACAAATCTCTGGGAAATAGTCTTTGAGGCTCCAGGGGCCCCACGGGGCCCTCTCTCAATCTGAGCGGATCAGGGAGGGCCCCCAAGATGACCTGAGGTTTCCCTTCTGAGAAATCAAGGGCGGATCCAGGTCAATGCACACAAAATCAATTCTGAATAGCCAATTCACTGAACGACCCATTCACTAGATTTCCTTGTTTCTTTTAACCACTTAGCTTTGGTTTACCTGTTTTTTGTCATCTTTGTAGTAGTATTTTAAGGCCTGATCTATTTGTCTCCACCCAGGACCCTGCTGATGGAATTAAGAGCCCGAGGGATGGAGAGCTAGGAGACTGAAGGGCATGGATAAATGCTTTTTTTCCCCCCAATTATACATTCTTATTCATGAGAAAGAATGCATTGAATATGTTCACAATTCTTCATATCCGTGCATATTGTCAATACCATATCCACCAAAGAACACAGCGATAGCCTCCAATGCATTTATTAAAAGAAAAAGAATGATTCATGACATCAGGGAATTCTTGTTAGTTTGCTTAGAGATAACACTATGGTTATGTTTCTTTCTTTTTTTTTTTTTAATTTAAAATATATCCTCTATGTTTTAGTGAGATGTTCAAGAATATTTACAGAAAAAAGTGATACGGTAATCTGGGATTAACTTCAAAATATTACAGAAGGATGGCAGTGAGAGCAGGTCCAGATGAAACTAGATTGGCCACCACTTGAGTTGATAAATGTTGAAGCATTCAAGAAGCCAGAAATGAACAAAATAACACAGGAGGAAGAGATTAATAAAGATAAAAACAGAAAAAAATGAAGGATAAAAAAATAAACACTAGGGGCACCTGGGTGGCGCAGTCGTTTGAGCATCTGACTCCTGATTTCGGCTCAGGTCATGATCTCGGCTCAGGTCATGATCTCAGGGTCATGGGATCGAGCCCCACGTGGGGCTCCGGGCTCAGCATGGAGTCTGCTTGAGTCTCTCTCCCCACTTCCCCTCTCACTCTCTCTCTCTCTCAAAATAAATAAATCAATCTTTTTTTTT